ATCCAAACCCAGATGACCCCCTAGTGCCAGAGATTGCACAGATAAGTACGACAGAATATCTCGGGAATGGATTCAGAAGTATGCCATGTGATGCTACCTTAAAGTCAGAATAACTTGCATTATAGCTGGAATAAACGTTAAATTACTCTTCCTTTTTTGATTTTCTTATCCGGCTGCTCCCCTATCAGACTTCATCTTTTTTAATTTTGTTTTTTGTTTACCTCCCTCCATTCATTCACATGCTTATCTGAGAAGACTTAAGTTCTTCTAGCTTTGGACAATAACTGCTTTTAGAAACTGTAAAGTAGTTACAACAGAACAGTTGCCCAAGACTCAGAATTTTTTAAAACATGGAGCATGTGTATTGTGTGGCCAATATCTTCACTCTAACTTGGTTATGAGACTAAAACCATTCCTCACTGCTCTAACATGCTGAAGAAATCATCCTGAGGGGGAGGGAGATGGATGCTCAATTGTCACATCAAAGGGAACAGCATTATTCTAGCAGCATCCATTCTTGTTTAAGCCTTCCACTGTTAGAGATTTGAGGTTACATGATATACTTTATGCTCATAACTGATGTGGCTGGAGAATTGGTATTGAATTTATATCATCAGCAGAACAGAGAATGTGATGTATTTTATGCATGTCAATAAAGGAATGACCTGTTCTTGTTCTACAGAGAATGGAAATTGGAAGTCAGACACCCTTTGTATTCCAAAATAGGGTCTCAAACATTTTGTAATTTTCATTTAAATTGTTAGGAGGCTTGGAGCTATTAGTTAATCTGTCTTCCAGTACACTGTTTAATATGGCACTGAATAAATGATGCAAGTTGTCAATGGATGAGTGATCAACTAATAGCTCTGCTAGTAATTGATTTATTTTTCTTCAATAAAGTTGCATAAACCAATGAGTTAGCTGCCTGGGTTAATCAGTATGGGAAACAATCTTTTGTAAATGCAAAGCTGTTTTTTGTATAAACTTGGGATTTGCTTCATTGTTTGACATCAAATGATGATGTAAAGTTCAAAAGAGTGAATATTTTGCCATGTTCAGTTAAAGTGCACAGTCTGTTACAGGTTGACACATTGCTTGACTTGATTTATGCAGAATTAATAAGCTATTTGGATAGTGTAGCTTTAATGTGCTGCACATGATACTGGCAGCCCTAGAGTTCATAGATGGACTTTTGAGACCCAGCAGTTTTGAAATGTGTTTGTGGAGTTTAAGAAATTTATTTTCCAGCTGCAGCGCCTGTCTAACTGAAATTTCTCTTCACCTTGGACACTTGACAGCTGAAAAAAACCATAATATGGGAGTAATAATGGGTCAAAATTTACAAAATAAAGTACTGTTTTGGTGTGG